GATTCTATATGCTGCGGGAACAGCAGCATCTTTCTGTCTTCACAGATCCACAAGCCACCCATACCTGCCCTGTCATCTACTTGACCACATGGCCTGAGCCCTGTGGCTCAGTGCTGTGTGCAGAGGCAGGAGAGTACATCTCCCACAACTGCTTCCTCACACAGCTCACTGTGAAATGACTCACTGGGTCATTTTCCAGTACTATCAAAGGTTGCTTTCATCAGAAATGAAGCAGCCCAAATCTTGAGATGGCCCTGCCTCCCCACCCAGGGCAGACTGCCTTCCCTATGATCATGAGAAGTGGCTCTGCTTGGCTTCTTCCTGTTACAGGGAGTTCCCTTCCCTAGGAGCTGGCTTATCTCCCTGTTGGACAGTTCTGGTGGTTAAAAAAAAAAGTTACTTCTCAGGGAGACACAGATGTCTGTGAATCAGATATGAATGTCTGAGGTGAGGCCAACTCTGAAATCTTTGCTTTTTAATAGAGTTTTTCCATGTAGTAGTCAAATCTATAACACAGACAGAAATTGGCTAGTTGATCTCAAAAACAGGCTCCTTTTCTATGCAGTAGAGGGGTGGATACCATATAAAAGTTCTACCCAGATGCTGGGTTGGGTTACTATTGCTGTGGTAAACACCATGACCAAAAGCAACTAGGGAAAGAAAGGGGTTTTACATCTTAGAGTTCCACATCACAGTCCATCACCAAGGGAGGTCAGGGCAGGAACCTGGAGCAGGAGCTTATGCACAGGCCATGGGGGGGGGGTTGCTGCTTACTGGCTTGCTCCTGGGCTTTCTCAGCCTGTTTTCTCATTTACCTACAGGACCACCAGGCCACAAGTGGCACCACCCAAAATGCAATGGGCCCTCCTATATCAATCACTAAGAGAATGCACAACAGACTTGCCTATAGGCCAACCCCACCACCACCCAAGGCACCCCAAGGCAAGGTCTTACTATATAGCTCTGGCTGTCGTGGAATACAGACCAGGCTGGCCTTGAACTCGAAGATATCAGCCTGCCTCTGCCTCCCGAGTGACGGGATTAAAGGCACACACCACCACGCTCAGCTATTAATGATTTCATGTATGTGGGTGTTTTTTCTGCACACCAGAAAAGGGCTTCATATTCCATGGGACTACAGTTATAGACAGTTGTGAGCCACCATATGGGTTCTGAGGATTAAACTCAGGACCTCTGGAAGAGCAGCCAGTGCCTCAACCACTGAGCCATCTCTGTAGCCCCTCTACAGGACAATCTTATGGAAGCATTTTCTCAACTGAGAGTCCTTCTTACTAAATGACTCTAGCTTGTGTCAAGTTGACATAAAACGAGTATGGTTGTTTGAATAAGAATGTCCCTCATAGGCTTATATATGTGAATGCTTCATCACCAAGGAGTGACACTGTTTGAAAGGATTAGGAGGTGTGGCCTTGTTGGGTAGGTGTGGCCTTGTTGGAGAAGTATGTCACTGGGGGTAGAATTTGGGGTTTCAAAAGCCCAAGCCAGTCCCTGTGTCTCTCTTCCAGCTGCCTGCAGGTCTGGATGTAGAACTTTCAGCTCCTTCTTCAACATGTCTGCCTGCATGTCACCATGCTCCCAGACATGATGATAATGGATTAAACCTCTGAAACTGTAAGCCAGCACCAATGAAATGTTTTCCTTTATAAGAGCTGCTGTGAGGGCTGGAGAGATGGCTCAGTAGTTAAGAGCACTGGCTGCTCTTCCAGAGGACCAGGGTTCAATTCCTAGCACCCACACGGAAACTAACAACTGTCTGTAACTCCAAGATCTGATACTCACACATGCATTCAGGTAAAACACCAATGATTTTCGTGGTCATGGAGTCTCTTCACAGTAATGGAACAGTGACTAAGGTTACTAGCTAGGGCACCAGACATGTCACAGTCTTCAAATTCCTCAGACTGTCATGAGAAGAATGATGAAAAAAATTTTGTAGTCTCACCAAAAAAGGAAAAAGGAGTTGCTAGGAGAATTTACCATGTAGTTATATATCTGACTGTGTTCACATAAGCATACATGCTTGGTGAATAACCCTACCTTGACTATGAAAGAGACACTCAGAGATGTAGAGGCCCTGTATCTGTGATACAAGGAATCAAGTATACTTAAAATATGTTTTATTTTGATTAAAACCAAGCAAACAAATGAATCCATAATTGGTGGTAGGAAGAGAAACAGTCTGCCATAGGTTTTGGAAAGAGTGGTTTATGACCACACACAAGTTTAACCTTGTGGTCCTGTGTGCATGCCTGAGAGAGCATGCATTTGTGAGTTAATGCAACAGAAGTGTAGAAGGTTAGAGGAGGGAGATGATGTTGCTTTCTGAAGCATTCCTCTGAAGAACTATCTAGCAATGGTTTATTTAGAATCAGAACCCAAAATACACACATAGTATGCAGTGTACCCAGCTGTTTAGGTAAAGTTCTGGATGATGCCTTGGGGTCATTCGAGAATGTTCAGACCCTGAGACTCGGACAAAGCAGACAACGCCCAGTATGTGACATGTTGCACACAACCAACCACTTTGTTAAGTACTTGACCCATTTTCCTATGTTCTCCCAAACAGAACTAGATTTTGTTTTTCAATCTGAGCACAGAAAAGGAAACAGAGACCATTTATTAGGAACGGGGAAGCACTCCTGATCACGAGTGGGCAAGTAAGCAGGGCAAAGCCTGAGCTCCAAAGTGGATCGTTCTCCAAGCCTCCGGTTCTGAGAGAACTTCTGAGAGCAGAAGTGCCGCTGAGACAGGTTCACAGGAGGGTTTGCAGCCTTCACTTGTTCTGGGTCCCAGGCTCTTCTAATCCCCCACTCTGCCCTGGGCCTCAAATTCTGATTGCCTAGGTGCCCTGTGGCAAGAACCACAGAGCACTTCAGTTGACTTCAGTTACTGTGTTGTTGTTTTTGTAATACCTTTTTGAGATAGGATCTTGCTGGGTAGCCCAGGCTGGCCCTGAGCTCACAGTCTGGTCTCTGTCCCCTTCCCTCAGGTAGTGAGATTACAGGCTTGTGTCACCTTGCCCAGCTACAGCTTTGCCTTGATAACACCTTTTCCTTTTTCCTTCTCAACCCACTATGTCTCTTCAAAACGGGAGCAGGGTTTCTTCTGGATGGTTGGGTTCTCCACTGGGCAGGCCTCTCTGGGAGAGGCAGGTGCCTTCGCTCTTCCCACAAACCACTCTTTCTTTTGCACTGATGGAGAGCACCCAGGACCCAGAAGGTAGGTAGAAGGGAAACTCCACCTACCATGATCGTCACTCCTCCCCTGAGAACAGATTCAAAATAACAAGGGCTTCCCTAACTGCCCTCACCTCCTGCCCACCCACACACACGTAAATAGTTACTGAGAAACCTGCAGAGTAGAATCTGTGACTAATTTTTACATAATCAAAAAAACTCCAGAGCACTTGTTCACCTTCAGCTAAACCACTTTAAAAGCCTAGGCATGTGTTCCGGGATGTTTTGTTGATCAGAGTATTTTTGTGCAATTCTTTGGAGACAGTCTTTAAAGCTAGAATGCATTCTTTCCAAGCATTGTTGAAGTCCATCATTGCGCCTCATGGCAGTGCAAAGCTGCTGGGATAGTGAGTGATGATGCAGGAGATAGCAGGCTGAAGTCTAAAATTTCATGTCTCCATTCCTCTTCGTCTGACCTTTTCTTGTGTGTCTTCCTTACTTGGTACAGATGGTTTGAACAATAACAGCTGTGGCTTGCTTGTGGAGACTATTTTAAAGGGCAACATTATTTGGATGGGAAATATTCAACGTATTCCTTGGAAAGTAGTCCCATTGAGGATCCTGTGAGGGGGTTCAAACCCGTGGATAGCAGTCTCACACCTGGAGCCCAGAACTGCAGAGCTGAGAGAAGAAGCACTGGGCGACACCTGCCCAGCTCAGCCTCAGGGTAGAACTTTCTCTGTGTCTTCTTGCAGTGGTTCTCTGTGGCAGCAGAATACAGTACAAAACAAAAACAAGCTCTCCAACCAGCCACTGCACACCTCCAGCTCCCTTAGCATCCACTGTTGTAGGTGGATGAACCTCAAAGCATTTCCTGCTCAGTTGTTTTAAAGAAGGCTGATGCAGTCCTACAACTGTGGGCTCCTTCCTGACTTCATCTTGGCCTCTTTGCCAGGCTCACCTCATCCAGACACTGATGTTTTTCTCTCTCGAGTCTTCAACTCTTTAAAACATTCCTATTGTGGTGTTTCTTCTTGTCCCACCAGGTCCTGCTGCCCTTCTCAGCCCCAAATAGTCACACAGAGACTTATATTGATTATAAAACTATTGGCTGATGGCTAGGGCTTCTTATTGGCTATCTCTGTCTTAATTATTAACCCCTTTCTATTAATCTATGTATTTCCACATGATCTGAGCTTACTGGAGAATGCCCGGATCTGTTACTCCTTTGTGGTCTACATGGCGTCTCTTTCTGGCCCTTCTCTGCTTACCTTTCCCAGAATTCCCCTTGCCTACTAGCCCCGCCTATCTTCCTGCCACCAAATGGTGTTTTATTTATCAACCAATAAGAGAAACATATATACAGAAGGATATCCCCCATCACATCCCTGGGCTGGAGAGATGTTTAGGAACACTGACTGCTCTTCCGGAGCCCCCACACTTCAGCTTGTGACCTTCCATTACTCCAGGTCAGGGAATCCAGTGCCCTCCACTGGCCTCCATGGGCAACACACACACACACACACAACCACACACAAACACA